AGAAGGAGGTGGTGTGTTTATGAAACAGTAAAATAGGGAAAGCAATCGCTACCGAAGGGTGGTTGGTTATACATCTTGCAAAAAGATGTCAAAGGCATCACTGTGGCAGAAAAATGAGTGTGTGCTCATTTGTGGGCATGGATGCCATTCTGGAAAAGATTAGTGTGATAAATGCAACATATCTTGCCACAGTGGGGAGATTGTGGGCAGGTAGCCAAGTGCCTCTTCCATCTGCTACTCCATTGCTAACTCTTTCTGGCCAACCTGAAGGTCCCTGATTATGTGGTTTTTAAAAAAATGGTTGCTTATTTTTATATTGGACCTTGAACTGGGTGGCCTTCTGATTTCTGTGCATCTAAGCACAAGAATTTTGTTCTGCCTTACAAAGAAGGTCCAGCGTCTTTCATTCCACCTTCTTTTCACTGAAAGAATCATTTTGTTAAACCAGAATTTATTCCTGCATGTGCTGATTTGCATTTCTGGAGATGTGCACTTGTTCCAATTCACATGAGCACAGACAAAAACTAGTGTACATTCCCCATGCCCCGATGCCAAACTGGTGTGTGGAGGTGTGGAATCCACATGATTAGGAAAAAGCTGGGAGATTGCAGGATCGCGGGCTGGATTCCAAGAATTCCAAGCTCATTTGAATCCGTCATGGATTTCGCTGACATCTTATCTCTGACAGACCTTCCAGGAGAGGATTGCCCACTGTAGGGGGGGACACCTGAGGTGCTCTAGGGGTCGGGTGGAGCGTTGGGTTCTACCTCTTTTTCCCCTTCTGTACGTGACGGATTTCTCCCTCATTGCTTTGCAGGATACTCACTGGCAGTGGCCCCCGTGCCCCCAAAAGAAGGTAACTATGGTGTCTTGCACACAAGGCTGGCTCCGGCTGGGGGAGTCCTCTGGTGCGCAGCCGCTCCATACCAAGGGTCAGGCTTCCCAAGGGCAACCGGGAAGCTGCCTGCGCAATGAATTTCCCAGCATGCCCAGGCACTGCAGGACCTCTGACCACCCGCCCTGAAGCCAGCGTTTCACTGAGGGGATCTCTAATGAGCCCCCCCAGCCTATTAAAAGTCGAGGGGCTCTTTCATCTCCTGTTTCCCTGCTTCCTTTCCAGAAGTGCCTTTCTGGGCCATCATACTCATTTGCCTCTCTGTCCTGCTGGGATTCGTCATCCTCTTCCTCATCTGGTTCCTGGTAGGTACACATTTCTTCGTGGAGGCAGAAGGTTAAGCACAGCTTCTTTCCCCTGGGGGTGGCCGGCATGTGGGGACTTGCAGCCATGGCTGGGGGTGCCCAGGTCACTGGAGCCAGGCACCTGGCTCCTTCCTCTCTGAACTGTGAAGGAGCAATCTAGGGTGCAGAAGCTATTTGGGAATAGGGTTCAGCACCATGGAGAGATCCTCAAAAATTTGGGCTAAAAGCTGGAGCAGAGACACTGCCCCATTCGTGTTTGTCGCGGAGGAGCTGTCAGCTCTCACGGATCCCAGGCTGGGCAATTTGCATTTCCCCAGAACTGGTTCCCACGAGGAGCCAAGGGATGCGATGGGAAGCTGCTCTCCAGGTGTTGCCAGGTGGGCTTGACAGTCTCCATCTGCCACACTTTTCCCAGGCTCCGCTCCCAGGGCTTTCCACCAGCTGCAGAGATAGCTGCCCTCCAATTGCAAGGAAGGTTTTTCCATGAGCGTGTGCCTGGGAGGGGAAGGCGTGTGTTTTTGTTGCAGCTGTATGGGTGCATATTGGGGTGCAAATGGATTGTGGGTGGGCTGTGTCTGTGTGGGCATGTTTGGATGGAGTGCACTTGTGTGTGAACGGTGTGTATTTGTGTGTGTCTAAATGTGATGTTCACTTAGTCGCAGTCATGCCCGACCCATCGCGACCCCATGGACAACATTCCTCCAGGCTCTCCTGTCCTCCACCATCCCCCGGGATCCACCTAAGCCCACACCAACTGCCCCAGTGACCCCATCCAGCCCCCTCATCCTCTGCCGTCCCCTTCTCCTTTTGCCATCAATCCTTCCCAGCATCAGGGTCTTCTCCAGGGAGTGTATTCATTGCTTTTTCTTTGTGCAAACTATCAGATTGCTTCCTGCATAAAGCGGAGAGCAGACAAGTACCAGGTTCAGCGCAGCCCCTTTGGCATCTACTTCCCACACTTGGGCATGAGACAAACTCGGTGATGTGGACTTTGTACACCGGACTTTCTGCTCTGGAGGTGAATTTGTTTTGCACACAATGCCCCTTCCCACCCTGCACACACGATACAGATGTGTACTGCAGCTGGAACAGAGTGTTTGAGTCAAAAGAGAAACAGCACCAATCTATATTGCTTGGCTTGGACACTGTGAGGAAAAGCATTCTGGATTTTTGGCTGGCTGGCTGGACTTGGACTTCACCAATGCCTTGGGCACCGTTGGAGACTGCCAGGATCAGGACAAGGGAAAAGGCAATGAAGATCTTATTTATTGATGTGCTCTGGAATTCAGAGTGTCTTTTTATATACCTGCAAGAGCCATAAATCAGATTAATTTAAATGTTAAGAGCAGTCAAATTCTGCCTGGAATGCACAATAGTGTTAAGCTTGCACATTCAGTCTGATTTGCAGACGACCAGAAGATTGTGGTATTGAAATCTGAAGTCTTTTGCACTTTAGGTTCCCTTATTTTTGTGGTGGAATCCATCATTTGGCTCCATCATAAGAACCTTCCATTTGATTTTGTATCCCAAATAAGGTCGCTTTTCTTTTAGAGAAAATGATCTTGCTCCAAAGGAACACCTCTTTCTCCCCAGACAGTGATTATATTGCAAGTTGGAACTAGATTAAAAATATGATGTATAAAAGGATTCATCAATGTTCCAGACCTTTTACTAATCAATCAATAAATGCACATGAGTCAAAAAGCAAAATGAAGCCAGAATGTGTTCCTGGAAACATTACTGTTGTTCTTACTGCTGTTATTCAGATTTTAATGTCTATTTCTGCCCAAGAATCAATGGGCAGGTGACAACCATTCAGGAAATTGCAAACCACTTTTATTACTGCTTTCCAAGAACTTTCTCTCTTCTCCCCCCTGCTCCTCAAAGCACCGTGGATTGTATCATTCTCATATATATCTACATATAATTACAAACTCACTGTAACCAGTCAAACTCAAACTTGCTTCATAGCTGAAATGGAACTATCATTCATGAGCATAGGTTGGTAGGGATTCCAAGGCTGGCACACATGCATGGACATAAGAAAAAGAGAAAGCTCTAAAGAAGGAGCAATTATGGAGTCCGATAAGGACTGAGCATGCTCAGTGTCTCCAGAATGCTGGCAAAATATCAGGGAGGAGCCGGTGGAATGGAGTGACTCGGAAATGGGAGTGGCTGGCTGGAACCCTTCACAAGACGACCCCATTCTGCGCTGTTGCTGGACACTTGATGAGGGAAGGGAAGGATCTGTCTCTAGATTATTACTCTTAATCTACGTAAGGAAACATTTCACTAACATGGAACTTCAAAAGAACCCCATAGTATTTTTATTTATTTATTTAAACATTTATATGCTGTCCTTTGCCTCAGCCTCAGGATGGTTTACAAAAATAGCAATATAAATATGGGACACTGATTTTAGATAAGTTTTGGAATACCTTCAGACGGAACTAGGACTGAAGTAGGGAGGAACATGACTGGATTACTCTTGGTGCTGGAAAACTTAAGAGCACTAGTTTGCTTTTCCTCTTCTTGTCCCTGTTCTCTTTTTTAAAAAGGGATATTTAGGAGGAAAGCAACAGTGAATGAAGCGGTGGGGGCAGGGGGAGAGAAGAGACAAAAACAGAGGAGGAAAAATGTGAGGGGGCAGAGAAAGACTGAGAAAGTGTGTGATTTGAAAAGTTTGGGGTTGTAGGTTGAAGTTTACAGCTTGTTTGTGGGTTTGAAAAGGGTAAAAAGACTGTTGCACCGGAACAGGGAGGTGGCCAGAAGAGAAATCAAGATCTATCGTTAGGGCTCTTTACAACCCTCGTAACAAAATGCATGTTTTCCCCGTCTCTAAAACGGGCTTTTGACATTTGGAAAGGCAGGTGTATGCCATGGATTAAGGAGGGCTTGGTGCAGGGACTGTGAAGGCGGTTCTGAGAATGAGGACCAATCCAGGGACTGAGCTTTTGGTCAGCAGAATGCTAGTTCTTATTTCTAAGGGTACATATGTCCTTGCCCACCCCAAGCCACTTTGTTTTGCTCCAGTTGGTGGAGTCTGGTGTATTTTTTTAGACAAAGGAAGAAAAGCACAAAGGTCGACATCTGCCCATGCCTGTATCCACCCAGCACAACCCCTGGGTCCTGAACTGAGGTGGGGGATTGGTGACAGAGATCAAGAAGCTCCTTCTCCAGGCAGCCTGGTGCTGTGACTTCTGTCCCAGGGTCTTCTGGAAAAATTGTCTTACAGGGAAACCCTCCAGGCCTGAGCATCCAAGAGAAACCAGCTGTGCTCATGTGGGGTGTTCCGTTGTCTTAGAGATTCCGGGATTCCATGCACTGCCCATTGTTTCTTTGTGGAATGTTTCGAAGTCCTCAGAGAGATAGGAAATGTTGGGGTGAGCTTGGAAAGGGCTGGGAGGAATTGACCCAGTCCCGCCACCCCCAAGGAATGGTTGGAGGGAGGTGATTGAAGCTGGGCAAGGCCTAGAGGAGCCTGGTCCACCTGGGTTTGGTGGATGTCATAGTTCTCCTCGGTGCTGACCGAGCGAGGGCCCGGCACACCTGGTCACTGCAGTTTGGGGAAAGCTGTGTAGGACGTCTTGGAAATGTCATACAGAAGTGCCAGGTCGATCAGTCCGGGACCTTCACGGACCAGGAGCATGAGCCCCTCACGATCAAAGAGCCCCAAAGTTAGGCAGGTGAGCCCGGGACGTCCCAGTTTGAGGAATTCCTCCCCAGGACATGCTCTGGACCACTCCTCAAGATCTCAGTTCTCTTCAAAGGAAAGAGGTGCTTCTATATGGAGGCCCAAAATGCCAGACAAGGGCCACGAAGTAGACAGGACAGGTGCAGTTGTGATTGACACTGGCACCGGAACGTGCAAAGCTGGGTTTGCGGGTCAACAAATACCCCAGGCAGTCATTGCAACTGTTGTTGGTCAACCCACAGAGAAGTCCATGAGGACTGCAAGGGACAGGCCAGATACATTTGTTGGGGAGCAAGCACTTCTGGAGCCTGATGTGGACCTCATTTTGCCACTGAGGCATGGCATAATCATAGATTGGGAGGCAGCCGAAATCCTGTGGCGGCACCTTTTCTACCATGACCTCAAGGTGGCTCCAGAAGACCATGCGCTTTTGATGTCTGATCCTCCCCTGTGTCCAACTACAAACCGGGAGAAGTTGGTGGAGGTTGTTTTCGAGTCCCTCAACTCTCCGGGAATGTATGTGGCCTATCAGTCGGTCTTGTCAGTGTATGCCCATGGGAAAATCAGTGGGCTGGTTGTGGACTCCGGCTATTCCACGACACACACTGTGCCAGTCCATCAAGGGTACAATTTGCCTCATGCCACAGAAAGGATGGACATTGCCGGAGTCAACCTGACATCATTTCTGATGGACCTTCTGAAGGACAAGGGGCATTACTTCGACGAAAAGATGATGAACGTCGTGGACGACATCAAGCAAAAGTGCTGTTACGTGACTGTTGATTTTGAGGACGAGTGGAATCGTCCGAAGCAAGACTACATGGTTGACTATCAATTACCTGACGGGCAGGTGATCACACTGGGAAGAGAGAGATTCCAATGCCCAGAAATGCTGTTCAATCCACCACAAATGCCCGGGTTGACTCTTCTGGGCATCCATGGCATGGCCCTGAAAAGCTTAAATAAAGTCCCTGAAGAATCCCGAAAGGAAATGTGCGAAAACATATTGTTGTGCGGAGGGTCGTCGCTCTTTGAGGGCTTGGAAAAGAGGTTCACTCACGGAGTCAAGGCCAGCATCCCCATCAACACAAAGGTGAAGGTCACAAGCATGCCACTGAGGCAGTATGCTGTCTGGACGGGGGGTTCCATCCTTGCTTCCTTGAAAAACTTCCAGCCATGCTGGGTCAGGAAAGAACAGTACCAGGAACATGGACCCTATATTGTTCACAGGAAGTGCTACTGAGGGGCTGGATGCATCCCCCAGGGAACTCAGGGAAAGAAAGAAATAATAAACGGCATGTTTGCCCACACTTGAAATGCAGCTTATTGGCTGAGAAATAAACCCAGTAGAGAAGCACTGAAGTTGCTCTGTGGTCTGTGGATTGTCAGGTGCCTTCCACTCCATTGTCTATCAGCAGAATCTGTTAATGCATCTGTGCAAGTCCACACTTCCACGACTGCACAAATCCCACCCCTATGTTCACACTTCAGCCTGTGGGGGCATTGCACATCTTTGGCCTCGTTTTTTCTCTCGATAGCTTTCCTTCAGCTAGATTTGCTAGATTAAAAATAACCAGTCTGCAAAGCGGCAGAATTCCCATGAGCTAGAAAAGCCCTGCCTGATGTGGACTCTGCATTTAGAGATTTGAATTCATTCAGATTTCTGCAAAACCTTAAAGCCCTGTTTGTGGCCAGAGAAATGAGAATCTGACCATGCAGATATTCCATGGGACACATTATACCTAAGCTCAGGCCACTAGCTCCAACCGAAGGGCAATCACACATTGATTGGGCTAGGAGAACACAACCAGGCATTTTTTTTAAAGCTTTGCTGGTCTGCCTTGATGTCTGAACTCACCGTGGTAAGTTTGGACTGTATAAACCTTGGTAAGAAACAATGGTTTGTTCTATGGTTTTTCTGTACTACCCTGGTTTGCTGTGCTGTCTGAACCCAGGATTGTGGTTTTCACGGTCCTGTTGTGCAACTACCATGGAGTCCCCTGGAAAGAGTGGCAACTGCAAAAGCCATCCAGCCTCTGTGTGTGTGGAACAGAGAGGAAGAGGCAGGTGGCACAGGCAGGGACAGATGTGCTTAGGGAATGAATTTCAGGCACAGTGGCTGATGGGATACATACCAGCAGTGGGAGGACTGAGTGGAGAGGGTGGCAACCACAATAGCATAGAAATGATTTGATTGTCTGTTGGGTAGATAGGGGCAAGAAACGGCGAACCATGGAAATGACTCACCTTTGCTTAAGACATGGTGTGAGCAGAGCTGCTGTCTTTGTTTTTGTTTTAAAGGACCCTTAAAAGGAGAAAGAGAACACCAGGGTGGCCAAATCTGTCCCTCTTGGTTCACGGGCAGGGCTATTGAGTAGGAAGAGCAAATTCACCCCATCGCTCCAGGTCAAGGGGAAATTATCCATCCTTTTCTGGGCTCTGCGTTTATAATGGCAGCAGCATGTGTTAATCTTGGTTTCTTGGATATGTTTGTTAGTTTGGACGCTGTGAGTGGAAACCGTGTTGGCAGCAATGCTGGCCTCAGAGTCTGAGGCCTGGGTCAGAGCAACAGGCTGATGATCAGAGGTTGTAAGGCTGAAGAGGGAGCCGCTGGTGGGGTGTGGGCTCCACACAGTTCCCCAGATAGTGCTACCCTCGGCGCCAGGCCGCTGTTTGTATCTTCCACAGGTTCCCAGTACTGACAATCTGAAAGAAGAAAACAACCCATACAGGAGGTGGAAGCAAGGCCAGGCCACAATGGAAGAATATAAACAAATAGCAAGGAATTGCAGGAATTGCATCCGGAAGGCTAAAGCCGGAGATGAACTGAGAAGAGCAAGGGATGCCAAGCACAATGAGAAGGCCTTCTTCAGATACATCCAGAACAAAAGACATGAGGAAGAGAGGGGTGTCCAGCTACTTAAACTGGGTGGCAGAGCAGTAACAGAGACCCAAGAGAAGGCAGAGGTGCTCAGGTCCTACTTTGCTTCTGTCTTCTCCCACAGGGAAATCTGTAATCAAGAGGAAGTTCCAGCTGGAAGTGAGAGATGGCACCCCAAGATTGACAGACAAATGGACAAGGAATTCCTAGGTGGAAGAAATACTGTCAGAGCTCCAGGGCCCGATCATCTCCAGGCCGGAGTCATACAAGAGCTAGTGGAGGAACTCTCAGAACCACTGGCTATTACCTTTGATAAATCGTGGAAAACAGGAGAACCGCCAGACGACTGGAGAAGGGCTCATGTTGTCCCTGTCTTCAAAAAGGGGAATAAGGATGAACATGGGAAATATAGACCACTTAGTATGACATCAGTCCCTGGAAAAATTTTGGAGCAGATTATTAAGAAATCAGTCTGCAAGCATCTTGAAGAAAATGCAGCGGTTAATGGAAGGCAACATGGATCTATAAAAAATAAATTCTGTAAAACTAATGTAATCTCATTTTTTTGTCTGGGTAACCTCTTGAATGGACAGAGGGAATATTGTGGACAAAGCCTACCTAGACTTTAGCAAAGTGCCCCATGATATTCTGATAAGCAAATTAGTAAAGTGGACTAGGTAGAAAAAATATTAGGTGGATCCAAACTTGGCTGCTAAATCAGACACAAAGAGTGTTCATCAATGGCACCTCCTGAAATTGGACGGAGGCAGCTGGAGGGGTGCCACGGGGTTCAGTCCTGGACCCAGTGCTCTTCAACATCTTTATTGATGATTTAGATGAGGACATGCAAGGAAGGATAATCAAATTCACAGATGATACAAGCTGGGCAGAATAGCAAATACCCAAGAAGACAGAATGAAGATCCAGGGCGATCTTGATAAACTTGAACACTGGGCTGAAAGCAACAGAATGAAGTTCAATAAGGACAAGTTCAACAAGTCCTCCATCTAGGAAAGAGAAACCAAAGGCACGGATACAAGATGGGAAAAACGCGGCTCAACAGAAATGTCAAAGAAAAAGATCTTGGAGTCATTGTGGACAATAGGCTAAACATGAGACAACAATGCAAAGCAGCTGGCAAAAGGGCAAATGCTATTTTGGGATGCATTAACAGAAGTTTTCCAAATCATGAGAAGTAGCAGTTCCCTTATACTCCTTATTGGTCAGACCTCACCTGGAATACTGAGTCCAGTCCTGGGCACCAAGATTTAAGAAAGATGCAGGTAAATTAGAAAGGGTCCAGTGGAGGGCAACAAAAATGATCCAGGGTTTGGAAACACTGCCCTGTGAGGAGAGACTGAGGGAACTGGGCAGGTTCAGCCTTGAGAAGAGAAGACTGAGGGGGACATGACATCCCTCTATAAGTCTCTCACAGGCTGTCACAAAGAGGAAGGTCAAGATCTTTTCTTGCTGATGCCAGAGTAGGACACACAATAATCAATTCAAGCTGTGACAACCCAGATTCAGGCTGGACATCAGGAAAAGCTTCCTCGCTGTCAGAGCAATACGAGAGTGGAGCCAGCTGCCTGGAGAGGTGGGGGGCTCTCCCACACTGGAGACATTCAAAAAGAAAGTGGACAGCCCTCTGAGTGGGATGGTGTGGGTTGGTGTTTTGCAGCAGGGGGGAGTTGGACCTGATGGCCTTTATGGCCCCTTCCAACTCCACTATTCTATGATTCTATAGTTTCTGGCTTGAATGGATGTATTCATATGCATTTAAAGGCATGCCTTTGGAGGGAAAAAAGGCACAGAGAAATGGTTGAAGAACAACCATTGGTGCAAAAGCACATTTCAAAATGGATTTACATTTGGACATGATGATGAGCATCTGTACTTTTAAATACATAGTTCCAGGACAGACCAAAGCAAACAGGAGATGGAACAGACTGGTGTAAATGAACACGGGGGAAGAAACTGAGCGCATTCCTGCATTTAAAGTGTGGCGATTTTGTTCATTTCTCTTCCTCCTGCTTTCTTGACAGGCTACACCTTTGCCTTGGGAACCTTGGCAAGGAGGTTTAAACCCTAAAATACTCTCTGAGATCCAGGCCCCTTAATGGCCTCTGTCGCAAGCGGAGCACTCCCAGCGGAGGCCCCCTTATCTTCAGCCAGAGCGTGTCTGTCTTGATCTTAGCTACCCCAGCCGGTCCTGGCGTCTTAGCAGGAAATGGCGCACGGCCGTGCCTCGCATCCTCACTGGCAACACTTATCAACCCGCCTCATCTCCTTGTTCTCGAGCAGCCAGCTCCTCTGAGCGATGGCAAGATGCGGACACCTCCTGTGCTTTCCTTTAGTGGGGAGAAAGAGCACATACAACAAGGCATAAAGGTATTGTGTTTCTTTCAAAGATACCTTTTATTATTTGTAGATCCGGCATGATATGTGTGGGGCAAAAATAGGATTGGTAGCCGTCTTAGAATGAAAGCGGACTCTGGGTTTTGTGGCACTCCATTCCAAGTGCTCGAAAGTATCTGCAGATACTTTCGGAGTAGGGGCAGCACTTTGCGAAGGAAGCAAAGGGCTTGGTTACAAGGAAGGGCGGTTGGCTTTCCTCTGTGAGGGGGAGCCAGCTTCTTTGCACTTTCCCAGTGAGTCAGAGGACACAGTGCTGCAGAGCATGTAAAGAGTTCCTTTCCTGCTAGGCCTATTCTAATGGCATGATTCTATGAATCCGCGGATTCTGGCAAACCAAGAACCAAAACTTGGATTTTTGCCAGTCCCCTTGAGATAGGGTCAAAGAAACTTCAAAAGTCTCCCCTTTCTGAGAGTTCACACATAACTGCAGTTCATTTTGATTTCTTCCACCAAGAGGCTCCTTGCTTGTGTTGCACAGTCCTATTTCTTCACTGAAATCCAGACGAGATCGAGTACATGAGTGCTTCTTGGTTCATCCTCTCATGCCAAGGAGTTGTCCTCCCAGCTCAGTTATTCACCTTTATGATGACCATCAATGTTTCCGTTGTTCCAGAAAGGGAAATATTTTGTTTTAATCCTAAGTTTATGAGGCAAGGCAGAGTGACTGAGGATGGATGGGAAGGTTTCTGAAGTTTGGAGCAATTCGTGGGAGGGAAATTTGCTCACTTCTGGCCCTTCTCCAATGCTTGAAGTAATTCCAGGGCTTTGCTTCCCTGTCTCGGCTGTGTTTGGCAACATGGTTGGTAAAAAGGAGTCCTGGAATGTCGGGAAGGGACTGGAGCAATTACGGAAGAGGCAGTAGTTGAAGAACGTTGGGGATAAGGCAGGATGGAAGAATGAACACTCCTTGAAACTCTTCGCTGGTGGGGAACTCATATTGTACAGCAAGGGTATGTCAGAAGCAAAGAACTCCCTCGATAGGTACATGAAATTTGTAGGGTTCAGTGCCATGCATTCCATCGGGTCTTCCGCAGCCTTCGGAGCGCTAAACCAACATGCATCTTCCATGCGAAGGAGGGAGTGAACTTGGGTGCTCGGCATTTCTGGGGTGCGGTTAAGGAGGCCGAAGCGGGCCTTCAGGTGCAGGAGCTCCAGACGGAGGTGCAGATTCTCTTCCTGGAGAGCGGCCACCTGGTTCTCTATCGCAAAATCATTAAAGCGCCTCTTTTCTCGGGAACGCCTGGCCGCTTCATTGTTCTTCCGCCTCTTTTCCCAGTACACAGTGTCCTTTTTCTCATCTGGTGTGAACTCGCGTTTCCGCCTCAGAGTTCCCCTTGCACCATAAGGATGCATGGACATATAACGAAAGGTCAGCGAATCAAAGGCTGCCACTCTTTCTGGAAGATGTTCCATGTTATTCCCTTCCTTCCTTCCTTCCTTCCTTCCTTCCTTCCTTCCTTCCTTCCTTCCTTTGGTTCAGTGCTTCCTGGAAGACAAAACCTGCAATTTTTACAAGGGCAAGAAAACTTGAGAACTGTGCGGCCAAGATACTGCTCTTTATAGAAACATTGAAACAGAGCAAGTCAGAAAGGGCCTCCTGGGCCATCTAGTCTGACCCCCGGCTCCAGCCAGCTCTGCTCATAACATGCCCACCATGTGCATGTTCAGCCTATCCTTGGACACCCTCACCGTTGGGGCTTCCACCACCTCCCATGGAAGCCCATTCCATACCCTAGGGGTCCTAACCATCAGGAAGGAATTCCTGGCATCCACCCTAAATCTTTGTTCCCTGAGCTTTGCTCCTCTGGAATGCATCCTGCCCTCCTCTGCAGGGGAAAACAGGTTCTTGTTCTTGTGAATAAACAGGTGACATTTCCCAGGTTCCCCCTGGATTGTCTTAGATATTCCTTCCAAGAGACCCCAAAGTCCTCCTAGAAAGATATCAGCTCTCAGGGTGTCTTTCCCAGTCAAACCAACAAAACAAAGATTTCCCACCCATGATATTCCTGGTGTCAGCCAACCTTTCTTCCTCAGTTATTGCTCATAGGTAAAGGTAAAGGTCAAGGTTTCCCCTTGACATTAAGTCCAGTCATGTCTGACTCTAGGGGTGGTGCTCACCTCCGTTTCCTGGCCGAGGGAGCTGGCGTTTGTCCGCAGACAGTCTTCATGCTCATGTGGCCGCATGACTGAACACCGAGGTGCACGGAACGCTGTTACCTGCCCACCGAAGTGGTACCTTTTTATCTACCTACATTTGCAGGCTTTCGAACTGCAAGGCTGGCAGGAGCTGGGATGGAGCAACGGGACTCATCCCATTGTGCAGATTTGAACCAGCGACCTTTCGATCAACCAGCCCAGCAGCACAGCAGTTTAAACCACTGCGCCACCTGCAGCATATTGCTCATATGGGGTCTTAACTGCATCTCCCTGCTTAAAAAAATGAGAGGGTAGGGAATTTTAATCCAAGGAAAAGAATAATTTGGGGGCTTTTTGTGAACTTTTGTGAACTCCTGAAATTCTTCTCAGATCCTGCCTAATTGAGAAATCCCCCAGCAATTCCAATGACTTCAGATCAATATAAAACTCCTTCTCTCGGCAGGTTTTTTTCCTTCTCTTTTTGCCCTCACAGTTCATTCTGGTCCTCCCCCATTCCTTTCATTTCTCTAAATGACTCAAGTACTCAGTTTTATTCTATGAGAGGTGGCTGAGGCCCCATCGGTGCGGGTGTTCAAGGTTAGACTGGACATGCACATGGTGGGCATGTCGTGAGCAGAGCCGGCTGGTGCCAGAGGTCAGGCTGGATGGCCCAGGAGGCCCCTTCTGACTTGCTCTGTTTCTATGTTTCTATGTTTTTGGTATCATGTTTAGCCTATGACAGATGAAAGCAAGGCCTTGCCTCAACTCTAATTAAAACCATGCCAAAAGAAACCAAAGGCCACCTGGCACAGCATTTGGTTCCAACAGAAGCTGATCTGAAATTTCTGGGAAGGCTACTCATTCAGGCGCAGTGACAATAGCTCTGGTTCTGAGATTGCTATTTCTTTAACTCACGTCTTCAACTCATTCTGCATTTCTGTCTCAAGCTAGCTCTCAAGGTGGCTAACAATAATATCCAGATCAAGAACAAAACCTTAATGAAAACTTAACATAAATAATGCAAATTAAAGGTGCAGTGAAAAGCACGATGGCTGAGTTGTATGCAGCATCTGGACATGGAGTTTCTGTCTAACCAATACAGTCGGTTCTGCGGGTTATGTTTCCCCCAAGCATTTGATGCTGTCTAAACCCCCTTTTGAGTAAGTTCCCTCCACGCACCTTGTGGCAGTGTGTTCCGTAATTGCAGAAAAGGTTGCAGCATGATCGTCCATCCACCCTTCCCTCACTGCAGCTTCTGAGCTGCAAGAACAGTCTAATCTGAGTGAAGGTGATCTGAATTTCCAAATGTCTTAGGAAAGCAAGTGGTAACTCTGGTTTTAGTACGAATAGCTGCTGAAAAACCACTACGTTGCCTCTTTTTAGCTGTTCTTCTCAACAGGAAGAGGACACAGCCAGCTGTGGTCTAAAGTGTCTTTCACCATTTACTAGTGTGATTGTTTTGATGACTCTGAAGGCTCCCCGGCATGATTCAGGGCTGAATCATTTGCAGGGAATCGGTCCTGCATTGTTGTGATGCTGGAAACGAGGAGCCGCAACGTGGAATGGACCTCCTTGCCCTTTCTGTACAGCTTCACACCCGAACCTCACACTGCGTCAGCATCTCTTGGGTAGAAATGACTGCGGCGGGCTTCCTCCTCAACACAGTGGGGAACTGGGGGAGGGTGTCGGGGAGGAAAAATAATGAGAACCCTTCCCAGTCCTTTTAATTAAAAAAACCTGTAAAGTATGGCAGTGCTAAGCAAAAGCTGCATTTACAATCTATGCCTCATTTTATTTATTTATTTATTTATTTGGAATTTTTGTATGCCGTCCCATTCACATAAGCCTCGGGACGGCTTCCAACATCATAAATAAATACATATACAAATGCATACATATAAAATCTGGAAACATCCTGGCTCAATATTTTAAAACCAATAAATAAAATTGACAATTATTAAGATATTGATTAAATAAAAAGGTCTTGGCCTGGCGCCGAAAAACAAATGACGGCGCCAGGCGGACCTCTCTGGGGAGCGCGTTCCATAGATGGGGCGCCACCACAGAGAAGACCCTCCTTCAGGTACTCCGTCTCCTAACATCTTTCACAGAGGGTTCCCAGAAGAGGGCCTCTGCTGCCAATCTCAGGGGGTGGGAGGGCAAATATGGCCGCAGGCGTTCCTTGAGGTATCCCGGTCCCAAGCCATTAAGGGTTTATAGGTGATAACCAGCACCTTGAATTGAGCCTGGACTTCGATGGGGAGCCAGTGAAGCTGGTAGAGGACTGGGGTTATATGAGAACAACGCCCAGTCCCCATCAACAGCCTGGCAGCTCTGTTTTGCACCATCTGAAGTATCTGGACCATCATTTAATGTTTCCAGAGGCAAGCTTGCCCAGGATGCCTTCGCAAAGGATGCATTTCGAAGACAGCCGAGCAGTAGCAGTGTGGAGGGGAGGGGGTGGGTTTTATTTGACAATTTCGGAATGTTCCACAGCTAGAAATGGGAGACGGCTCTTTGGCAGAGGGGAAAGCAGGGTGTTCCCTGCTTCATACCCTTCAACTAGACTCAGAGGGGGAGAGGAGGATGGGCTGGTAGTCAGGAAAAGCACCTTGCATAAGTACAGAGTAGCATTTCTCATCAGTTGTTGTACTCTACATGCCTCATTCCTTCAAATACCAGCCTCCAATGCCTGAGCACTTCTTGGTTTGATAACAAAACGAGGCAGATCGAAGCTTACAAGAGGAAAGTTTCATCTCAGTCCTGACATTTCTGGTTAAAATCTATTTTTGGTTAAAATGGTCAGGTTTTAGAGTATTGGTCATGGAGGCTGGTGATTCCCATGTAAACAGGACTCTTTCTGCATTTCAGCTTTTGTTTCAGAGCTTCACGGGTGGTATCCGTGGTGCTGGATGGCATCCCACAAACAGGTATGCTGCTATGAAGCACCACAGGTAGCTCCTCTGAAACTCAAAATAGAAGCTGTAATGGAGAGGAAATCCCAGTGACACAAAGCCAACAGTTTCTGTAGCTTTTGGGAGGTAAGAACAGATCTGGAACCATTTGGGGTGATCTGTATATAAGCAGAAACACTCAAGTGGGCAAATTCTAAGGGAACAACTGTCCTTTAAGATTTTCTGGCAACATTTGGGAGACTCTAGGTCTTATGAAATGTTGATAGCTGTTGAGCATTCTGAGAAAGATGGTGGAGCAACTCACTCCACTGCACAGAGATGGCATTTCCTGGTCCTTCATGACTTTGTCTGGGTCACTGGGTGGCTGTTTTCTCCTATTCCTATACTTATTAGGGGATTGGCCTCTTGTTTTCTTATGAATTTCTGTATTTATTTGAAGCATATACCAATCAAGCCTCTTTAGCTAAGAAGGAAGGTGTTTGCCTTCTGTAGGATCTTCAAGTTGAATTCTTCATTGTGCAGCTGTCTGCTGGAAGAGCTGGCCAGAGATGGCGGGTGCACGGGCATCATTGTTATGGGAAGGCTGCTTAACCTGAGTCTGGTTTGTGGTCAAAGTACCATAAAGAAGGGGAACAAGAGCCTTGTATTATGGATTGTCTGGCAGAGATGTGGGTCACAGTCCTTTGTCGATGCCCATAGCCCTCCAGATGCAAAGGCTTATGAGAATCTGATGTGAGCAGAAGGACCACAGAACTGAAGGTTGTCTCTGCTTGTCCTCTTGGTGTAGGCCAACTTCTGACATCTAATTGCTTTGAAGTAGGAAGGCAAAGGAGGTGGGGAACGACTAGGTAATTATTTATTTAATGTGTATCCTGCCTTTTTTCCATGGGGGGAACGCAAGGTGGTGGCATGCAGTTCCTGGGGGTCTCCTCTCCAAGCTTAGGCCAGCTCTGGACCTGCTTAGCTTCAACCTGGTGGGAAGCTTATGTGCATTCAAATCATATGTCATATGTCTCATCTTGGTGGGGTTGGTTTGCAGAAGGACACGTCATTCCCTGCCACATGCACGGAACACTTCTCCAAGGTTGCTCTGCAGCCCCAGAGAAGCAACTGGCCCAGATCAGAGGAGGGAGGGGTTTCCCAGCTCCAGGGCTGGACAATTTTCTGAGCATGGACCTGGAACTCCGAGCAATTTGGTAATGCTCTGAGCATTGTCCTACAGGGGTGTGAGATTGATCTGCTAGCAACTTCACCATTAGGGCGAAATTAATTCTGCATTGACACCTTCACATGTAAATCAACAAGTGCAAATGTGATAAAAATTAGCATCTTTTTTGGTTTGGGGGATGCATTTCCTTCTTT